ATAATATATAACATACTATACTATACTCTATATATAATATACTCACTACACTACCAATATCATATCTATATAATAAACATGCTATATCTACCTCTAATCTTCCTATCTATCTATCTAATCTACTCTATCTATCTACATAGAATAACTATATAACCGTACTAAATCCCTACTCTACTTATCTATCTACTATAAACTCTATCTAATCTATCTCAATCCCTACTATAATATACGCCGTACTAGACTACCGATAACGACTATATCTATCTAATATACTATAATTACCCGCTCTATATCATCAGTCACTCTATATTAACTATACATCTAGATCCCTATCTCATACTAATATCTATTATAATACTAATTATCTATCTATAAATATACTATCTATCTATCTAATATATATATCTAATCTACTATATCTATATTATATCACCGTTATCTAATATAAACTCGTATATCTATATCTTATACTTAATCCGTAACTACATCTATCATCTAGCTCTATATCTATACTCTACTCATCCTAGTATCCAGGTAATCTATATGCTACCTACTTAATCTATATTATATCAGCACGCCCAACCCCCCCAAAGGCACCCCGCGGAGGCACATCTATCTATATATTACCCAAAAAAAAAAATACTACTGTATCTATCTAATCTCATATACTATATATAAATACCTAGTAATATATCTTTTTTTTTTTTTTAAGAAATTTAAATATATAAACGATAATATATATATACTATACATACCTCTATAGATATTATCATATATATTATTATAGACATATAAGAATATTTCTATATAATCATCTATCTCCTAATATATCTATATAACCTATCATCCTATCATCTATAATATCTATCTCTATATATCTATAATATCTAACTATATCTATATATCTATATAGTAATATAAATATATCTATATAATTAATATAATCGTTAATCTAATATCTATATCTAATATCTAAAATACTGCTATATCGTATATATAATATAAGATACTAGATATAGATAATAGAATATAGTATAATTAGATATATAGATAGATATAGATATATAGAGATAGAATAATACGAAGATAGATATATATATAACGATATACATAGAGGATAGATATATATACGTATACTTCTATCTATACTCTATTATCTCTATACATCTAATATCTATACACAATCGTATCTATATCTACTATATCATACTCTATCTATATATCTATCTAGTATCTAATATTATATCTATATATCTATTATAATCTATATTAAGATTATATATATCTATATATAATATAATTTCTATCATATACATTAGGGTGCTGATAAATGGAAGCAAAGGAATCCCCATCTTATGCCCTCCATCACAAAGACACAGGTTCGAACATTTTGCTGGAGGTAAACCCACATAAAAAGGGTGGTAAAGATACAGAAAGAATGCAATGTTCGATGGCAAAGGACGTGACAGTCATTTTATTTGTTTTTTAATAATGTATCCTACCAACAAGGGGGGAACCCACCAGGCAAAAAACGCACTGACAAACTGAATGAAAATTAAAAAGCAAAAATTAAAAACAAAAATCAACATTTATACCAATGCAATTTTCCCAAACCCTTCTTTCCAAAATAAGCAACATCTTTTTGTCCTGAAAGAAACTTTACAATATAAGAAGAAACATACGAAAGAAGGAACGCTCTTATTCCTGAACTACACGAGACTTTAGGATTCTGAAACTACCCCCTACACATGAGATACCGACGCAAAAAGCAACTCCGAAAGGACAGACTGCCTCATATTCAATAAAAAACGCTTTGTCATTGCACAGGCGAAAAATGAGGAAAACTGAAACAGAAAAAAAAAATCTTTCAACTCACTCAAAAAATTCCTCTCTAACCCTCCACCTGGATGTTACCAGTAATTAGATAGATATATATATATATATATATATATATATATATATATAGATATAGATATAGATATATATAGATATAGATATATAGATATATAGATATATAGATTTTAGAATACTGGTTCCCTGGAATTCATTAAAGTGTCCCGGATTAAAGTTGTGGTTCCTAACCTGGAGGTCGGGAACTCTATTAGGGTTATAAGACAAATCTGAGGGGTGGAAAAAATGTGGAGAAAGGAAAAAGCATTATGTAGCTATATGCTATTTTGCTAAACTAGCTGCATTTTTCCTGTCATAACAGCTGATTTTTACCATTTCAGACCTTTAAAAACAAATGATCCTCAACATCATCATCATTTGGTTGAATTAGCTCTCAGCTCGTTGGGATATAAAACCTCTGAGGAGGGGTCTGCAGGCATAGCTTTGCTATAAATGGTTACAATTCAATAATATTTGAAAGATTAACCTATAGAAAGTAATACCATGATACAGAAATCCTGGCCTCTTCTGTGAGGGAACCTTTTATAAAGTTTCCATTCTGAACGTCAGAATTTGTGTTCTAACACAACTGGATATATGGAGGCAAAAACATGGTAAAAAGTTATTTTCATACTTTTTTAATTGCATTTTATTCTATATATTTTACTGGTTGGATTTGTACTGCTTTTCTAAAACAAGCAACTGCTATTGCAGTGATATTGGCATCTTAAAATGATTTACATTGTTGAATGATGCTTGATGTCAGAGATCCAGATTATGGAGGAATGAAGGTGCTCAGTCTCACAGGCCTAAATGGTTTCACCTCCCCTCATTTGTTCGAGCTGAACTGAGTGGCGACGCAGTGACCTCCTGCTCCTCTCACTGCAGCAGTAGTCAGGAGGAGCAACCAAGGAGGTGACGGAGGAGGCGAGGGGCAGCCGAGGGAGTATTGCTGGTCGCACAGATGCTCTAGATGAAGAGGACGGAGGAGGGGAGCTCGGTGGGTGAGGCAGAAACACCAAACTCCTGCTTTTGAAGCGTGGAACCTGGAGGTGGGAGTCTGATTGGTTGACTAAGGGAGGAAGGTGAAGCAGAGGAGGGACCACCGTGACAGAGGGGAGGGTGTTCCTGCGGAGGTGGGAGTGAGGAGATGGACAGGCAGGAAGCTTATCACTTTTTTGGGTCATTATGTTCGATGTTGAGCCTCCAGGTGTCAAGCACCTCTTGGGGACCAGTTTTCTCGGGGTTGCCTGAGGCGAGTTCACCTCTGTGAGGGAGAGGAGCGACTGAGAAACCCTCTGAAGGACATCCCCATGGCAGCTGGTGTAATTCTCTCCTCCATGCTTGTTAACCTCGCTCTCTGTCCTCTCTTTCACCCTGAACTGATTAAAATAAAGCTCCTCATCCTCTCCTGCCTCATCCTCCCTCCCTCCTCTCTCCTTCCTTGAATCCTCTCTGTCTGCCTCCTCCTGCAGCCTCCTCTCCCTCACGCCCTCCTCATAAGCCCGGTTCAGACAGGCCAGGTTGTGGATGGCCAGCCAAGGTTCGGATGACATCCTCTGTCTGGGCGGTGGAGAGCTACACTGGCTCAACGGACTCAGCTCACAGGAGGGAAGTCTGCTGCTGCTGCCGCTTCCTCTTTTACCTGATGGAAGTCAATAAGACAGTGAAGAGAGAGTGAAACTAATACATATGGAAATGGTTGAGAAGAACAGTGTCTGGGATTCCTTCTTTGTTGATCTTCCTAAGATTTCTTCTATATTTTTTTGCCCAGAAAGTTTTTCCTTATCCAAATCAACTAAAGATAGAGGGTGTCATATGCGCTACAGATAGTGAAGCCATTTGAGGCAAATTTGTGATTTGGGGTATATAAATAAACACTGCACTATTCACCTTATTCTCTGGGTGGGAAACCCCCACTGAGGTGCTTGAGCAAGACTTGAGCAAGACCCTTAACCCCAACTGCAGTTTGTAGAATAAGTGATTCATATTCTGAAACATATCTTAAATAAAAAGATGCTACAGTCCATCACTTTATGTCTTTCCTCTAACACTCTTATCTAACTGTATTTAAAGACACTCTTCTTAGTTTCTAGTAAATTAATTGTCAGTTCCTGTGTAGCAGAAGACATGTGTATTTCATTGTAATGCAGCTTGAGTTATCTTCACCTCACCCTGGCAACACATTTTCATCTTGTCTCCTCAGGAATGAGAACTCAGCTAATGATTTCAACCACCAGGAATTTGTTCTCATCTGTCTAGACTTGTCTTTGTTAAACACTACTCTGCTCTATCCAGGAGGGGCACAATGTCTGCATACAGAGACTCTCAGAGACTGAGCTCAACATGAAGGTGAAAAAGCCAGACAACTTGCATATTGTTGTGTTAACATGACATAAAATGATGAGATTGCATGTGGAAGTGGCTTTCAATTGTGTGGTAAATGTGTCTATCTCAGCGGTAATATTATGCAACGATAATGTGACTCGTGCAAGAGGAAAGTGGTTATAATGTTTGCTGCAAAAACATGCATGTGTTCCTTAATCTGAATTTCAAAACCATCAACATTCACTCACTAGTTCCTCTGAAGTTGAAGATGTTTTCTCCCTCGGGTGAATTGGGTGAGCCTGTCTTGAGGACGATATCAGACGGGGACATGCAGGACACCGGTGAGGTGTCAGGAGACGGAGGAACGTTCAGGTAACGCCTGGTCACCGGGCCTCCATTAACACCCATCTCCGTGGCGATGATGATGATGTCACGACCCCTGGCCTGGCAGGCATCCATCAGCACCTGAAACACACAGTGCAGGTGAGGTATTGACTGGATTTAACCAATTTGGGGTCTTGATGGTGCCTGGAACTAAACCTTTTTGGAGGGATTTTCAGTGCCAATATATTTTAAGTGCTTTCATGAGGATCCTTGCTAACAATTCAGTGTTTCCTCCATATTTGTAGGGAGCGGAGGTGGCCATGAAAAACACAAA